TAGCCAAATATCCCCACACTTTTAAGTATATGTAAGATGGTACTCTCCCATGCCACATTTCATAAGGTGTTTGATTCACTTTCTTTTGGAATACTTGATTAAGAATATAATTAGCAGAAAGTATTGCTTCCCCCCACAAGTTCTGAAGTAATCTAGAACTTATTAACATGGTATTCATCATTTCTTTTAAAGTCTTATTTTTCTTTTCAGCAATTCCATTTTCCTGAGGTGAGTAAGGAGCGCTGGTTTGATAAATTATTCCATGTTCTGTACAAAACTCACTAAATAGTGATTCATATTTACCACCTCTATCACTTCTTAGTTTTTTAATTTTCTTACCCAGTTCATTTTCAACTTCATTCTTAAATTGAATGAAAGTTTTCAAAACTTCGTCATTGGTTCGAATTAAATAAACATAGCTATATCTAGTATAATCATCTATGAAAGTGATAAAATATTTTTTCTCATCTCTAGTTTGAATTGATTTAAAATCACAAATGTCACTAGGAATTAATTCAAGTGGTTCTATATTTCTTTCAATTGAATAAAAATGAGTTTTGGTTAATTTTGCCTCCACACAAATTTCACATTTATGATTTGGATCAATTCCAAATTTTGGTAAACATTCCATATTAATTAATCTACGCAAAGATCCATAATTAACATGTCCTAGTCCACTATGCCACAAATTTGAAGACTCAAGCAAGTAAGAAGAAGATGTATTATTATTAATAACAGAGGGGACAACAGTCATTACAGTTATTTTGAAAAGGCCATCAGACATGTAATATTTTCATACATACATCTCATTTTTGGTAAGTACAAATTTGTCACTTTCAAAAACTAGCCTAAACCCATTTTTACTTAATAGAGATTCGGAAACATGATTCTTGCGAATGTCCGGTACATGCAGCACATTGTTGAGAGTGAGTTCTTTTCCAGATGTCTTCTTCAGAATAATCTTTCCTAATCCTTCAACTTTAAAAGTCGAGGAGTTGTCCATAAAAAGTTGTTCACCGTTGTCCACCATAGAATAGGATGTGAACATCTTTTTGTCGGCACAAATGTGGCGAGTAGCACCAGTGTCCACCCACCATTCTTTGGGATTTCTGACAAGGTTTGCCTCGAAAACAACTGCAAAAAGATTTATGTCATCTATACCATTGGAAAATTTGTCCACTTCGGTCATATTGGCTTGAGCAGGCTTCTTGCTTGATCTTCCTTTGCCTTTGCACTTGCTACGACAATCTTTAGCCCGATGTTCCTCTTTGTCACAGATGTGACATTTGCCATTAAACTTATACTCTTTGGTTTTCCCTCCTTTAGAGCCTTATGAAGAACTTTCTCCAGCATACTTCCGTTTCTTTGCTTTTGGAGCATGTTCCACTATATTTGCCTTAAATTCCATGGGATGCTTACCAGCCTACTTATCAGAATTGCGGTTGTCCTCCTCAATCCACAAATGCACTACCAATTCTTCCAAAGTCATTTCTTTGCGCTTATGTTTAAGATAGTTCTCGAATTTCTTCCAGCCTTATGGTAATTTTTCAATTAAGGCAGCAACTTGGAAGAGTTCACTGAGAGACATGTCTTCTGCATAAATGTCATGCAAAATGAGTTGGAGATCTTGAACTTGGCTGATCATAGTCTTAGAATCAACCATTACAAAGTTTAGAAATTTGCCTATCACGAATTTCTTCGAGCCAGCATCTTCTGTTTTGTACATTTTCTCCAAAGACTCCCAAAGTTCCTTTGTCATCTTGATAGGGCTGTAGACGTTGTATAATGTGTTATCAAGTCCGTTCAAGATGTAGTTCCGGCAAAGGAAATCAGCATGTTTCCAAGCATCAACCGCAGCAACTACTTGTCAGTCGATTTCATCCTTGTTCAGAGTAGGACTATTCTCATAGAAGAAGCACGCCAGGTTTAGAGTAGTAAGATAAAATAGCATTTTCTACTGCCATCTCTTAAAATCAGTTCCTAAGAACTTCTCTGGCTTTTCACCGTGATTGATTGGCACAATCACAACAGGAGGAGGGGTTGGAGCAATTGCAGTCACCATGCCAGTACTGGTTTGAGCATTAGTTTTAGTAGCCATGAATTCTATATTATAAAACAAAATTATAATTAGAATTTGTATACTACACAGAAAATTTAAACCATAAACACGGAATTTAATTCTGTAAAAATAAAAAAAACAAGAATTGTAACTTTTATTTCTAATTAATTTGAAAATAAAATATTTATTTAAACAAATTAATTCCACACAGAAAAATATTTCTGTAATACTTTAAAAATTAAAATACTGAAAATAGAATTTTAATTAATGAAAACTCAGAAATTATTTCTGAAAACCAAAATTAATTTCTGACCAACTTCACAAATGAATATTCTGAAATTGTTAATGATAACTAGTATATTACTATTAGTTGTCAAAGAAAATAAACAGTATATTACTACTCTTTGTATTTTCCAACCAGAATATTACTTTGTAAAAACACAGAAAATAATTTCTGTAAGAAGAAGAAAGAAAGAAAGGAAATAAAAAAAAATTATGTATAAACAGAATAATTCAAATCTGTCTTAAGATTGTTGGAATAATCTTCTGTATAAAATAAATAACTTGAAACCAAATCAAACAAATAAAAATAAATTACTTACAGAATTTATTTACCGAAATGATTAAGTATAAAAAATGACCAAGTCGTGTGTGTGACACTCTGTCCTTAAAACAGATTCGTCCCGTTACGGTGCTTACGGATAAATGACATTTATCTCCTAGGATACAATGATCTTACACAGATTGTAGTGGCACTGCAAACAATTTGTACGACGAACTCGAACCTGTATTCTATACTCTCTGAAATTATTGTCTAAAACTAATATGAAGAGAATTTATGCAAGTGAGGAAAACTGGAAGGAAAACAAGAGAATTTCGAATTGAACAAACTGCTGGAATAATTGTAGTATTTATAGGCAAATTGGTGACCTTTAGGAAAGGTCGAACAGGTACTTTTCGAAATGAACAGATCTTATTTCGAATTGAACAGCTGCAGAAAGAAATTCAAATATGTTTGAAACAGTTTGAATCTATTTGGAAGAAACTAGTTTGGTGCAAATTGTCAATCTGTTTGAACCTGCTGGACTGGATGAGGCACTATTTTGGACAGAAAATTGAATTCAAATTTGGCGCAAAATTTGAATTAATTTCACGCAAAAAATTTTGGAAAAAAATGAAAATAAATTTTGTCAAAAAAATTAATATTATGACCGACTCGACCCACACTGGCGCATGGCTTGGTCGAACGGCAGCGTGCGTGTGGTGGTTTGAGCCAAAGCCCACTTTGTCCATAATTTCTCCCTTCTACAAACTTGGGGTGCCCCTTGGGGCCCAACCTAAGTTTGTCTACCTAGAACTTATAAACGTACACAAGCTCTCTTAAAGTTTTAATGTGGGACCACTATTTAAAGGAAACTCACTTTTGACTCTTTAATTGTCCATTTCACGAACCCGAAAACAATATCAACTTCCTATTCACTCATAAATGGTTTTGATGAACCGTTTATACCGTGGGACTTACCATGCGGTAAGAAACATGTCACCTCTTGGACCCACCCCAAAAAATATGTGGGACCCACTCAAATTTGGGTTCAAAGTTAGCCTAAAATAAGCCTATAAAAATCATAATTCCTACAATTTTATCATTATTCTTATACATTATAACAAATAAGAGTGGTAAGTACCAAACTTTCTTTTCCTAAAAATAAAAATTTTCTTGTGAAAAATATTTGAGAACTAATTCCTGTCGTCGTGAGAACAATTGCTAAAAATTTCTTCCGAAAAGTAAAAAATGGGATTTTTAGAGACAAAAATTAAAAAATTTTGTTAATAAATGTACTTTTAGAAACAAAATAATTTGGTCCTAAAAAAATTTGGCTCTATTTGATTGTATTTTCAAATTATAATTCTATCCACACATTCTAATACCATGTTTGGATAGGATTTTCAAATCATATATCCATACTAAACAGAAAACTCTGCAGAAAACACTCTGTGTCAGGCAGGATTTTTTTTTTTGAAATTTGGCTTAACCGGTCGTCCCACCGAACGTCCGGCCAGTCATCCCACCGGTTGACCTGTCGGACGTCATCCCACCGGTTGACTTGCCCGATGTCCTGAGCAGTGCGCTTTTTTTTTTTTTTTGCAATTGGCACTATTGCTTTTTTTTTATATTTTAATAAAACAATATTTTTGGAATTTTTTTAAAAAATTTATAAGCTTTTTATAGATTTTTAAATTGTGTGTTTGGTTATGAGTTGTTAGTTTTTGTATCACATATCATATGTCACATCAAAAATTTCTCACTCAATTCAAAACTTTTTTCAAAACTCATTCACCAAACAAATTTTCTATACTCAAATCATAATCTCAAAACTCATAAATTCAAAATACAACTCATATTCTAAAATTATAGTTAGAAAACTCTACTAAACGCAATCTTTATTTTTCAAACAAATTTTGGTACCAAAAGGATAATAATTCATTACTAAGGCCAAGTTTGGCAAGATTGAAAAAAGACAAAAAGTCAAAAAGTTACTATCCTATTTAAGTCATATCATGTTATTTAAGTCACATCACCTCTCTAACACATCACTTCAAACCCAACCCAAACCCAACTCATATTTCATAAAAAGTCAAAAAGTACACTTATTTAGTCTTCCCAAACTAAATATCTAGTTTTGTTACTAAAAATATAATAACGACATGTTTAGTAACAAAAATATTTTGTTCTTAAAAAATAATTTTGCCCCTATATTTTTGTCTTTAAAATTTTAATTTGTTATAGTAATAAAATTACTTTTTTTTTATTATAATTATACACGCATTATAAGCTGTTAATGTGTGTGTGTATATATATATATATATGTGTATATTTCTTTCCAGCAACTGTACAACTTACAGTATAACGTTTTAATTATTTCAATTAATTATACTGCAGTGACATTATAACTGGCATCTATCAACTCCACAGCCAAAAATACTGGCATGGGGACCTCTCAATCACAGATATTTTAATAGTCAACGATAGGGCGAAATTCGCCTTCCTAAGAGGAGCCCGTGGTGGATCGCCTGACAAAAGAGGAGAGGATTTTGAAAAATTGCGGAAGGTATTTAAGGAGGTACTTGGCGTTGTCAAAGATCGACAAAGTAGAATGCCACGTACTGAGCTGAATCATTTTCATAAAAATGCTGCCCCAAAAATCAACAATTGGTAAGATTATATATATATATATATATTTATCTCTAATATGTTTTGAGGTTGTAGGTCAACATTCAATTTATGAATAAATAAAACGGAATAAAAATAGGATTGAGTTTTTTTCATGTTCATATCGCAATATGAGATGAATTTTTTTTCAATAATTCGAACTGTTTATATTATAAGGCTCTCAATATATATCATTCATTAAAAAAAGGAGGATCACTTCTAATTTAAATATGGATTGGAGGGTATTGTTTGGGCATGTGAGATCCACCACCGGCCCCGTTTTAATTATCCAAACCGTTAATTTTGTCGGGTACTTTGTGTAATTCATCTACAAAAGAAATTAGATCGATATGATAATTGTAACTTACTCAATTTATCGCGCTTTTATCTAAAAAATGTATGATTTACTTTTAAAAACACAAATTTTTTTTATTAAAAGTGTGATAAATTTAATAAGTTACAGTTATTGGATCAACTTAATTTTGGGTATGAATGAAATACACAAAATACTTTGACAAAATGAATGTTTGGATCATCTAAACAGGGCTTATGGTGAGCCCCCACAGATCCAAACAACGTCCTCCACTCCAAAATTTGGACTAGAGAGCATCATCCTCCTTAAAAAAATTAGATTAATCCGATAATAGTAATATTTTCATTTTATCGTGTTTGTTTGAATGGTCTATTTTCAAAAAATAAAAAATAAAAAAAATTTGTGGTCCATTTGGAGATAAATGTGATAAAATGAAAAGATTACGAATCTAGAATTATCATATCAAAGTAATTTTTTTTATTAATAATATACATTGGGATCCTATAAAATAAACAATTCAGATCATCAAAATTAGAATAATGACGGGCTCCACAAGCCCACAAAATTGTCTCATTCTGTGATGTTAACATGAAAAAAAGCTCAATCTAAAATTTTTTATTTTAAATTATTTATTTATTTATTTATTTTTTTGCTCATAAATTCTTTTACAAATTCGAAATTCAAACATAAATATTAGAAAATTAATAAATAAATAAAAATAAAATAAAATAAAATAATGAGAAATTATACCGATAATCCTTATATTTTACCCCTTCTATCGTTTTGGTCATTAAACTTTCAATTAGCTTGATTTTGATCCTTAATTTTAAATTTTGTTTTAATTTAGTCCAATTCACAACGCCATTATAGTTTTTTTTTTTACAACAAAAGATCAGTGAGTCGGTTGAAGTAAACTCACTGAATTGATCAAATTTACAATTTTATTCCTAAAAACATGACACATGTTGCTCATGTTCTCATTTGTTCATAAAATAATGCTAACAGTTGTAATCAATTAGATAAATTCAAGACAAAGTAAGAAATTCAAGATCAAAATCAATCCAATTAAAATTATAAGGACCAAAATAACACAAACGTTAAAGTATATATAATGACTATTGGCATAATTTGCTCTAAAATAATTGCTAATGAGACATGTTTCACTCAATTGATTTACATTTACGTTCTATTTATTTCGGCGGAAAACGTTTTCCAGAAAATATTTTTTGCATTTTCTGGTATTTAGTACAATGGAAAACAAAAGTCAAAAGAAGCATTTTTCATGGTCAACAAAAAATAAGCCTATTTGGGTAAAAAGTATTTTTCACTCTTAAAAGGTGAAAAGCATTTTCCGAACTAAAATTTTACTAATGTCATCACATTGTCCCCACCACCTCCTCCACCACCACACCACCATCATTGTTGTGGCTGCCACACCACCACCACCGCCACTACCACTACCACCACCTCCACCCAACCACTACCACCACATCTACCCGACCACTACCACTGATGTTGCTACCGTCGTTGTCACCACAACAGCCGCCATCACCACTATAACAACCACCGAACACCTCTACCCTGTCGCTGCCACTATTACCACCACTTGCAATTATTAGTGCATTAATTTCAAGAATGCAACCAAACATAAGAAAACGTTTTCTTATGAAAAATATTTTTTGAAATAGGTTTTATGTAGAAAATATTTTCTATTGAAAAATGTTTTTCGTTGAAATAAAAGAAGCCATAACTTTTTCTTCATTTCCTATATTTACTTTTTATGGGTTTTTTTTGTTTTTTTTTTTGTTTTCTTTTTTTTGGGTTTAATAGGCCGAGTCTGGCGAAACTGTTCTTCCATCCCCTTCTAATGACTCCAATGCAAAGGTTTCATCTACCCGTTATGATGCGTACCATAGAACGGTACTCAGAGTCACAGTACCAATGGCTTGAACGTCGCCCAGGAGGGGGGCCGACTGGGTGGAAAGAAAAAGTTCGCGGAGACTACAAGGAGATTCTAAGTTATCGAAAAAATAATACCTGCAAGTGCAAGTGCAAGTCCACTTCCACTTCCACTTCCACTTCCACTTGCACTTGCACTTGCATTTGCTCAGAACACCAAGATAAAAAAGAATACAAAGATGATGATTGGGATCAGTTTACGTTTGTCAGGAACACTATTGTCCACATCAATGTAAGGATAAGTAGCTCAAAAGGGTTAATTTCTGACATTCAACTCAACTTCTTTATCAAACATTGATTTCAAGTCAGGAATGCTATCAACATCTGATTTAAATTCATTCTACATACGGATACATAATACACACTTTCAATATTCACTGCACAATTTATTCTAGACTGAAGTCTAAGGATATGTTTGGTTTGTGTTTGAGAGATGTGTTTTAGAGATAAAAAGTACGAAAAGTTGTTTGGTTTGGTTTTTTTTTAAAGATGTTTTAGAAAATTATTTTGAGAGAGAGTTTTGAAAAAAGTGATTGATTTGATGTGTGCGAGAGAGAGATTTGTTTGGAAAACTTGTTTGGTTTACAAGTTTTGAGAAATTTTTTTGGGAAAATTTGTTTGGTTTGATTATTTTTAAAAACTTATTTGTAGAGAAAATTTCTCAAAAATTTTTCAGAAATACAAACCAAACGAACCCTAAGTCTCTAGACTTTCTGGTTTCAAATTAATTGTCCGTGGTTTAGACTGATTTGTGCCCTTCTTCGTTTGAAGGGAAATTATAACCCTTTTTTATTTTTTTTTTTAACTAATTTGTTTGTTGTAATTTTAATTTTATCAATTTTATTTTTAAAATTTTCACATTGTATATTTGTCAAGTTAGTCCAATTGATAATCTTTCTTTAAAAAATTGGACTGAAATTAATGGATAACTCTTCTCAAACTAATTGAGGGGATGACACAATGTGAAAAATTAAAAGATAAAAGTAATTAAAATTATAACAAAAATACTGATACAATAGATAAATTACAAATATCACCAGTATAATTTAACAATGTTTTATTTTTTTGTGAAACAGGACTCTCGCAACAAAAATGTTGACAATGCCACATCCTCGGGGGTTAGTCTATGAAGTTCAATTTATAATTTTAATTGTATCAATTATATTTTTAAATTTTATTGTTTGCGTCTATCAATATAGTCTAATTGATAATTTTCTTTAAAAATTGGACTAAATAGGGAACTCTCCTCAAAGTGATTGAGGGGATGTCATCAATTAAATTCAATTGACGCAATGTGAAAATTTACAAGACAAAATTAATATACTTAAAATTATAAAAATTATATTGACATAAGAAAAAAGTTGCAAAAAATCACGAGTAAAACTTTCCTTAAAGAGAAAAAAAGTAAAGGAAGACTCATGGTCAATGCTTCCATCATCACGGGTTAGTTTCAGAAATTCAACTTCTTTATCAAACATCGGTCTCAAATTAATTTGTTTGAAGGTCAAATCATAACCAAAGTCTCTGTAATTTGGTTTTGCGTTTATTTGTTTTTTATAATTTTAATCGTATCAAATTTATTATTAAAATATTTAAATTGTGTCAATTTATTCAAATTTATATTATCATTTTAAAAATTGGACTGAAATAAATGAGAAAAATAGTCCATTCACTCTCTTCAAATTGATTGAGGAATTGATATCTAATTTGAAATTGTTTATATTTTTAATGAACTGTTTTGCACTTTATTTCTGTCCAATTTCTTAAAAAAAATGTTACTAATTGAACTGATAGACATAATGTCAAAATTCAAAGACAAAATTGGTATAATTAAAATTATAAGTACGAAATTGAAACAAGAAGCGAACTAAAAGAATAAGGTTATAATTTACCCTTGTTTTTATCAGGGATCTAACAAACCAAAAAAAACAGCAAGAGACGTTGAGCAAGAATTATCAGTAATGTTGACATCATCTTTCACGAATGTGTACAATCTCTTCAATGGCAAAGCATTGGCATCAACTTCAGGTATGGAATAGTTACAAAGAAGTTGTACTGTTAAATTCTTAAGAGAGTGTTTGTTTTACTAGAATAAAATAGAATGGAATTATCATTCCATCAATTTTCAGGTTTTATTCATAAAAAAAATGATGAAAAATATATCGTAAATGGAATCATCGCTTACCATGAGAAGATTAAAGAATGACCGTCCCATTTCATTCCACCTCATTTCGGTGAGGGGAATTCTATGGTGTACACTTTTCTAATGGTGTATACCATATCTACTTTGTTACGTATTTTTTAGTGTATATTACATATTTTTGTGATAAGAGTTATAACAATTCGTAGTTTAGAAATGATGTTAGGTATTTTTGTGACAATATTGCATATTTTGTGGTATTGTTACATATTTTGTGACTAAAAATGTTTGGACCTCAAAATGCATAAGACTATCCTAAAATGCGAAATTTTTGAACCACAAATTATAATAACTCTTACCAAAAAAAATAGTTGACATTTACTATAAAAATACGTAATAAGGTGTATCTGACACACTTTTGAAGAGTGGGTACCATAACATAACATGACTCTTCTGGTAAACCAAACACTAGCTAATTAAATTTGATTTAGTACTAGTGAGCTGATTCTGGTATTATATCTTTTACCTGTAGTACAAATTTTTGAGGAGTGAGTCCAAGAAGAGGACCAGGCACCATAAGAGCTCCGGGACTCTCATCCTCTCGATTTCATGAAATGGATAGCCACAATAAGCAGAAACCTATGTTAGTTGGGTACTATTATCAATGTTTGGTGTGAGTTAGTGAGTGGTTTTGAGGAGTTTCGTTTCAGTATTTTGTCAACAACTTGTTACCAGGTTTGATGTTTCAAGTACTCTTGTTTGGGGTATTTAGGCAATTGGTAGCATATTTGCTATAATTCACTTGAGCTATATATGCCTATTCGAGCATATCCTGCTACTTTTCTCTTTGTAATATTTTTATTATTATAATGAGGAGGCGGATCCCCTCCGGTTCACAATATGGGATTGGAGGATATTGTTTGTTGGGGGCCCGTAGAGTCCACTACGAGTCCTGTTTTGATAATTCAAACCGTTTATTTTGTCGGGCACTACATATATTTTATCCACACAAAAAATTAGGTCAATTTGATAATTATAACTTATTTAATTTCTTATGTTTGTCACAAGAAAAATGCATAAATTTTTTTTTTTTAAAAAAACACAATTGTTGTCTATTTTTTTTTGTTTTTTTGGGTGAAAAATGTGATAAATTGAACAATTTAGAGTTAGCAAATTGATCTAATTCTTTTTGTGGATGAAATACATTAAATGTCTGACAAAATAAATGGTTCAAATTACTACCACAGGCCTAAACAACGCCCACTGGTCCAAAATCTGGACAGGAGAGATCTAGTTCCTTGTAATAAAATGTTACAATATAATGACTTGTTTTTAATGTCAACCTTGTGTTGCTTTGTTTGGCTCTCATTCTAGAACATAAACAACTTGACAAGTTGCTAACTTGACATTTCAAATTACAATTTTGCCCCCCAAATTCATATATAAATAGGGGTGTATGGAATGGGTTTCAAATTCAAGTGAGCAAGTAGTAGCAAAAATCAGAGTGAGGAAAGGCAAGAGAGTGAGAGTGTAATTTCTCTTCAATTTGGTGAAATTCGTTGCCCGAGGACGTAGACGCATAGCTGAACCATGTAAACCTTGTGTGTCTTTTTTCTGTGTTTGTTTGGTGTTTGTTTCTGATCCCTAGACACAACAAACTGATATCAGAGCTAAGAGGTTGCAAAACAGAGGCTCAACTTCTTGGACAATTGCCACCTCTGCAGCCACAGTTGATGGATATGGACCTAGAACGATGATGTTGCAGAAAGTGTGAAAATATGCTATGGCGGTAGAGATTAAGAGAAGGTAGATGGAACTCTCCATTTCATGTAACCTTGGAGTTGAGAGAAGTTACTCTGGAAGAACATTGACGACTCTTCCAAATATGAACACGTCATGCATATTTTACATTCTTGTGGTGGTTATAATTTAAGCTATGCATGGAAAACAATGAGAAAGAAGAGGCCTACTGTAATATGGCAGAAAATGGTAATGAAAATCCTTAGCAGTATGAATGATTTAGATATTATAGAAAAGCTGACGACCAAAGATAAACTCCAGAAATGGGGCTAATTAGGTGACAACACCTGTCACCTATGAGAAATTCAACAAAAACTACTCAACACTAAAATTCTAAATGGACTTTTCAGTGCAGGTTTGAATTGTTTTGGTGGTACATGTGAATTAGTAGGATTCAAACTCCTTCAGCAATAAAAATTCAAATAAAATTCTCAAAAATGTTAAACATCATCCTCTGTTACATAAAGCAAAAGGATTAAGCTCTGCAGCAAGGATACGTCATAGAACAAAACCTAGGACCGAAAAATAAGGAGTACTGAAAGATGCCAAATATGGCAAAGGGAGAAAGTACAAGATTATGAGAGACTCCTCTCAAAATCGAGGATCCATTGAGGTACAGAAATTTGATTCCCATGTGTAAATCCTTAACGTGAATCTATTGATGTTAATGGATGAGAAGCCTGCATAAAAATTATATGTGATTGTCATTTTATTTTTTTTTGTATATGTTAGCGTCACCTTATATAAAAAGGGATGCCTACTCAATTCCTTTGTTATTCCTTTTTATAAACATGCCCCCTGTCAATTTCTGAACAGAACTCCTATTCATTTGGTATATAATAGATCTCACACTCAACCACAAAGAGGGGAAGGAAGAAAGGTGTCTCCATGGCACTAACTTTGCACCATTGTTTAAGGAGACACCCTTCTCCTTAAACAATGGTGCAAAGTTAGTGCCATGTCATAACTATAAGAAGGGCGGATTCACATTACAGAAAAATTTTACTGAAAATGACATGGGAACCCATTTAATTAGTGTTAATGGAACGAACTATTTAAGGACAAGAATACAAGAAGATGATAAAAACACTAAGGCCTTGTTTGGCAATTTTCAATTTTAATCAAAAAGTCAAAAAGTTACTACAAATTGTCACATCACTCTTTATTTTTCTGCACGTATTTTTATAAAAAGTCAAAAAGTTATTAAAATAGTTTGTTCCAAAATGAGGCCTAAGTAGCCTTTCTAGGCTAAGAATTAAATCACAGTAGTTCACACACAGATAGAGATGCAGCCAACCAACCACAGTAGCTACTAGTAGCAACCTCCGAGATTCTTTCAGCACTTCTTTTTTCGGTACATCGGAAGTGGCTCTTTCACCACTTCTTTTAAGGCTTGCTATGAATATGTGATCATCTACCATGACTCGTTATGAATATGTGATCATCTACCATAAGTATAATGGTCGATGTATACCCCTTCTGCAATTTACAAAGTTGATGCCCTCGAGTCAATAATGAGGAGTAACAAAATAATATATGAAACAAAAAGGGATTGAAACAAAATATGAAAGGGATTTATACCTTAGAAAATGCTAAATCGGTATCATGGATCACCCTTACCAGTGCATCCTTCAACATTTCAATGTGGAAGGAACTATCAAAATTATCTAGTAACATCTCCTCCAACCTATCGACAAATTAACAATGACGTTAGCGACACTTGTTTCACATAACAATTATGCAACCAAAGAAAAAAGTTGCTGCATCATATTCTAGAATTGTATATGAAAAAAAAAAAAAAAAAACTTTTAATCAACATGTAACGCATATGCAACTTAAATACAAGGTCATGTATTTACTTAAGAGGAAAAACAATGAACAAATGACAATTTAAAAACACTAATCATATAAAAGATAATGTTAGTTCTCAAGTGAAGAATACACACTCACTTCTTCCTATTATTCCTTCTAATGAGTAGATGTATATCCACACTTCAGTCCATAAGATATATTATGTATGCATAACTACGTGTCTTGATGTCTATCAAGAAAAAATAAAATTAATTACATGTGCGCATGAGGGGGAAAATAAAAGTTCAATATTTTCAATAAATAAAATGAACCTGCCAAAAAAATAACAAGAAAATTGTATGCTTGAGTTCCAACTTTTTTGTTTTGTTTTTTAATTTTTAATTTTTGTTTTTAGTGAATATTTTTAAAATTTTAAATAATTTTTTTTTTTACTTTTTTAGATTTGCCTTACTTAGATACATCTAAAAAGTAAAATATTTGTAAAAAAAATATTTTAAAAAATCAATAAATACACAAAAATACGAAAAGTATACTAAATTCTCATATATTTTTGGTATTTTGTGAATTTTCTGAAGATTTTTTTCACAAATATTATAATTTTTAAGTGCATTTATGCTAGGTTCATCTAAAAATTTAAAAAATTGCTTAGAATATTAAAAAATTCAATGAAAACAAAAAAAAAATATGGAAAACAAAAGGTTTCAATTTTCTGAAAAGTGAATTCTGAGAATCTAAACCAAACAAGCTAATGTTTTGAATGTGACATTTTGTTTTATTGACTAAATTAACCTATTTTATTTTTTTGAACTCATTTAGTCATTTTAGAACTTCCCAAACAAGAAATCAATAATACTATAAATCCAGACTTAACTTCTTAAAAATTATTTAGAATTATTATCTTGTGATTCAGATTTATTCTTGATGAATGATCGGTTCCCGGGTGGATGGGTCGGACCGGCCCAGGTTCTCCAGACTCCGACTCAAAAAGGGGGGCTCCGCCAGATGTCCTGCAAGCAAGTTCAGGGGGGGAACGGGGTAGTCCCCCAGTGAACCCTCCGGTGCAAGAATTAGAAGAGCAGAGTATGAAAAGACTGTATATCGAGAGATCAAGAGAGAGAGCTCAACTTAACCTCCTTTTTTTCCTCTTATCCTTGCTTATATCCTTTTGTCATCATTTTTCCTGTCTCTTGTGACGTGCTTTTTCCGCCGAAAGCCTGTGCCATAGCTCATCTTGTTTAGGGTGATGGTGCTTAGAATATTAAAAAATTCAATGAAAACAAAAAAAAAATATGGAAAACAAAAGGTTTCAATTTTCTGAAAAGTGAATTCTGAGAATCCAAACCAAACAAGCTTATGTTTTGAATGTGACATTTTGTTTTATTGGCTAAATTAACCTATTTTATTTTTTTGAACTCATTTAGTCATTTTAGAACTTCCCAAACAAGGAATCAGTAATATTATAAATCCAGACTTAACTTCTTAAAAATTATTCAGAATTGTAAGATAAATTGATAGAGAGAGAATAAATTATATGTATTATAATTGATGTATTGAATGTGTTGAATTTGTTATATTACAATGTTCAGATGACTCTCTTTTATAGAGGAGAGAGTGTTACAAGGGGCCAAAGGTGGCCGAAAGAAGAAACAGGAAAGCATGCACTAAGGAGACAACATTATTAAAGCTAGTTGGTATTTTACAGCTAATATATATATGCACTAACATATAATATACTAACAGCCTCCCTCAAACTCAAGAATGATAGATACTAACCAACTTGAGTTTGGAGAGAGTAACAAAACGTAAAAATAAACTGACAAACAAAATAAAATATGATAGGAAACACTGTATGGTCGTGTCAGACCATTGTAGAAGATACTGTATGGTCGTGTCAAACTGCTGTAAAAGACACTGTATGGTCGTGTCGAACCGTTGTAGAAGCTAGTAGGAATCATTGTCGGGACAGTTTACGGGGTCATGCCGGACCGAGGTAGAAGACACTGTGTGGTCGTGATAGTTTACGAGGTTATGCCGGACCGTTGTAACAGACACTGTGTGGTCGTGTCAGATCGTTGTAGGAGCTAACCGGAATCAATGTCGGGACAGTTTACGGGGTCATACCGGACCGTTGTAGAAGCTAACCGGAATCAATGTTGGGACAGTTTATGGGGTCATGTCGGACCGATGTAGAAGCTAACCGGAACAATGTCGGGACAGTTTATGGGGTCATGTCGGACCGGACCATTTATAGAAGACTTTGGTGGTGCACCGAGGAGGCGACTTAGGGAGTGCGCCATGGGGT